GGCTTGTGGTTTTCCATGAGCTGGGTCAGGGGTCTCCTTTGAACCTAGGACCAGGCACTGCTTTGGAGTGGCCCCTAAAGCCTGACATGTGCCCCTGTTGCATGGTATGTAGACCAACATGCAATCCAGGCAGTGTCTTTGCCTCACAGACAGCAAAGGGTCTAGGCCATCCAGCTCAGAGTGTAGGGACAGAGTGGGGGTCTGATGAGGAAGCTGTGGCTCTGTCCAGGAATCAGTGAATTCTGCCTCTCAGGAAAGGGGACCAACCTGGGCAATGTTGTAATATCAGGGAAATATTTCTTACATTCTTAGAGGCTGGAACTTTTGCTGGACCTCACAGCCAGCGTCAATAGCACACCTTGAAGTCACGGAAGACTGCTGTCCTACTGTGTGCCCAGGGTGTTTGTTAACTTGCCTTTCAGAGACCAGTGTAACCAACCAGCGTTGGATTTCTTGTGTAATCAGCTTTTACAACCCAAGCTAAAGCGTATTCACCTGTGATTTTAGGTTTTGGACTCTTCCATCCCCCTTTTCCTCCGCCCCCCCCCCCCCCCATAGATAACGCACAAGTATCATTTGCTGACAAGTAGCAAATCCAGAGGTTGCAAGCTGCCGTTTCCGGATACTGGTTGATAAACAGTGATGCTATCTGGATCCGTTGGGGTCAGCGACTTAATCCCTAGTAAAATTCTATTAACTATCTCTGTAAAGTGTGCGATTTCTATCCTCGTGTGATATGTCTGCGCCATTTAATAAAAGAGAGCAAAGACCTGTGCCAGGGAGGGTGACACCCAGCTGGAGGCAGGGAGCAGAGAGTTCAAATCTGACCGGTTAGATGAGTCCAAGGCGGAGGTGCTTTCCCTCCTTAATTCCACACTAATGCATTATTGGTGACTCAGAATCAATCACCAATTCACTTAATCCACACCGTTTGGTGCCCCGTGTGAGGAGCTCGTGAGGAATGTGTGGAACCTTTAATGCATTTTGAAATACCCAGTGTGGAGGTCAGATAATCTGAACTCATACGAGAAGATTGGAAAGATCCCTCGCTGGAGGTGGGACTTTTGCACCATCTCATTTACCAAAAGTGACAGGAGCCTGGGAATCTCCTCAAAGCTCCCACCAAGTCGGCCTGTGGTGTTGGAGAGGTCCCGGAGTAAAGAGGAATTTGGGTGTTTCAGGTAGACGAGTAAGTCCATCTCAGGAGCAGGGTTCTGACACTCTGAAAGCTCCCCCAGAGCTAACTCCATCTCAGGAGAGGGGTCTGACACTCTGAAAGTTCCCCCAGAGCTAACACCATCTCAGGAGCAGGGGTTTGACACTCTGAAAGCCCCCCCCCCCCACCCAGAGCTTATTCTATCTCAGGAGCAGAAGTCAGGTCAGACACTCTGAAAGCTCCCCGAGAGCTAACACCATCTCAGGAACAGGGGTCAGGTCTGACACTCTGAAAGCTCCCTCCCAGAGCTTATTCTATCTCAGGAGCAGGGGTCTGACACTCTGAAAGTCCCCCCAGAGCTCACACCTTTTCCCTGTTTCCTCTTTCTTTGTTGAGTACAGTTTCAATCTATACCAACTGCAGTAACCGGAAGGAGGCTGGCTCTCTGGCTCTCAACACCTCTACCCTTCCCACTTTAGCTTTCAAACTATACGCACCATGGGAATTCCCTGTCTCCTGGGGCTCATGCCAGCGGTGGGGTGAGGCGGTGGGGGGCACAGCAGTTAACCCCCAACTCGGGGTCTCGGTGCACATAACAGCTGCTTGGTGCTCCTAGAGGGTCCTGAAGCATTATGCCAACAGCTAGCTGATGGGGTTTGAGAACAGCAGCCTCTTAGCGTGGCTTCACGGGCAGTGCTTTTAAGTACCCGATGTTTTGTTAACTATAGTTAGTCGTTGCCCAAAAATATTAGGTGGAAGATTCCAGAAATAAACATCTTAGATTGTAGGCAATTTTAATAGCATGATGAAATCTTGCAGCTTTCTGCTCTGTCCTTCAGGGACACAAATGGCCTTTTCGTGCCGAGTTTCCACGCTGTATGCTCCGCCCTTCCGTTCATCAGTAGTTGTTTGGGTTATCAGATCGGCCATTGCAATGTTGTGGTGCTTGTGTGTAGTCACTCTTTATTTTAGTCAGTAATGGCCCCACGGTGTCCAGCCATGACGGTTGACACATGCCAAGCCGGAGCTGAAAGTGCTTCGTTTAAGTGAAAGAGGAAATGGCCTCACTTGACTATCTAATGCTATGGTAAACACCAAACCCCGAAGCAACTCAGGAAGCAAAGCAGTTATTTTAGCTCACAGGTTACAGGTCATCACTGAGGGAAGTGAAGGCAAACATCTGGAGGCAGGAACTGGAAGCAGAAACCACAGAGGTACAGCTTACTGGCTCACACCTTTGCTCAGTTACCTTCCTTATACAACTTAGGCCTGGGGATGACACCTCTGACTGTAACTGGAGGTTTCTCTCCCACCCACCAGGTCCCAGATAACCACTCAGAGGTTTAATATTCATTACAAACTGTCTGGTGGTGGCTCAGGCTTATTACTAACTAGCTTTTACATCTTAAATTAACCTATTTCTATTAATCTATGTATTGCCACATGGCCGTGGCTTTGACTCACATTTTGTGTCTGCCAGTGTCTCCCTGACTCTGCCTTCTTTTTCCTTGTGTCTTTACTTGGATTTCCTGCCTGGCTGTATTCTATCTGGCTATTGGTCAAATCAGCTTCTTCATTAACCGATGATAATAAAACATATTTGCAGTGTACAGAAGGACATCCCACATCCTCTGACAGTGGGTGGGCTGGACTCCCGACACTGATTAGCAATTCAGAAACTGCCTCCCTGGAAGGGGCATAGGGCAGTCTGATAAAGACAATTCTTCAGTCTGGTTTCCTCTTCCCAGAAGGCTCTAGGTTTGCGTTGAGCTAACAGCTGACACTAACTAAGGCAGGTGAGTTTTAGCTTGATTCGTGCTGTTGATAGTCAAATCCAGGGCCTCACCTGTGCCAGTAAGAAGACGTCTACTACTGAGCTCCGTTCCAGGTTAGTTTAAGATTCCACAAGTCAAGAAATGATGCCGAGGTTGTTAATCTATAGTGAAGTGGGTTTGGTCTTTTATCGTTCCCAGTTTAGAAGTTAAACTTCAGGTTTGTCTGCATAGGAACAATATAGTCCATATAGCCTCAGTTTTGTCCTGAGCTTCACGTCTCCATGGTGGCAGAGACAGTTCATGGGTAAGGAGCAAACATGGCGCCTTGTGCCTATATTTCAGGAGGTTTTAAACGAAGATGACCATGAGATAATCCCTGGACTCTGACAACACATCTCATTAGACATTCAAAGCAGTCACATTACAGAGCAAATCCTGTAGTAATTCGAGGCCACTATGTCATACTCATGGGTATTGAAGCTGACACTGGGGACAGGCTGCCTCTTGGGCTTGCCGCACGTGAGCTGCCCTGGGCCCATCTACGAAGGACCCATGCTGGGTTTAATGTTAAACTGTTGCTGTCTTGAAACCTGCCATTTTCCTTTCTCGTCACTCAAACAGTTTTTAAATTGACAGAAATGAATTGCACATATTCATGGAGTACAATGTGATATTTCCATACATGGGCACCATGCATAATAATCAGACCAGGGTGATTATCATATCCATTACCTCAAGCTTTAACTATTTCCTTGCACTGCAAACATTCAAAATACCCTATTTAAAATACAGCAAGTTAATTATTCTTACATAAAGGTTCATTTGAACAGGGAGCAAACCATGTAGCCAGTTCTAATGGGAGTCTAGGTGACCAGGACAGACCCTTGGGCAGAGCGACCGTGAGAAGGTGGTGTGTAGAGTGTTGTGTGAGGACACAGTGAGTCTAGACCTTGGAGCATCGTGAGTGTCCAGCACCCCGTGCTGTCAACTGCAGTGAAGCAGGGCTCTTCCCAGAGACTGCTTCACACAGGGTCCTTGCTTGTGAGGCCCTACTGGTGCTACACCAGGACCAAGCAGGCTTTGGGGCCCTTGGGAGGTGGAGCCCATCCTCTGCTGTCCCTGCTCTGGCCTGTGACTTTCTATGGGTGCTCTCCTACTCTGTAATGTCTATTGGTCTCTGGCTTTGTATGAGGGTTACTATGCCATTTTCCTCTCTAATGAAGGAAAGTGAAAGATGGGGTGGAGGATTTACGGGTCCCAACCCTCAGCAGAAAGGTGACCATCCAGCCACTGGAGAGTGTGGTAATAAGGGTGTTGGGCTCCTTCGGGCAACTTTCTTAATTGCCCAGTAACTCATGAGAGGTAGCTTGGAGCCAGAGAGGTAGCATGGCTGAGATAGGAAGGATCACAACATCATCCTGTGGGTCGCATCAGTAGAGGGGACTTTCTTATGTCCTTATAAATGTGAGCAGAGCCAGTGTCCTGAAACCATCTGCAGAAGTGAAGGGTGTGGCTCCAGGTTCCTAGTCTAAGGACTTTTCCCCTTGAGCAGTGAGTCTAGAGGATGATGGGACTGACTGACTGAGCTGTACTCAGTAAGATACAGGCCACCAGTCCTAGAACCTGTCTCAGTGCTTTACCTCCATCACCGCGTCCCCAGAGATACTATCAGGTGTGCCTTGCAGTCACAGGCATCCCCCAGAAGCAGAATCAGACCCCACTCGGTCTCTCAGTGGAGCTCCTGCCCCTGCACAGGGGTCTCAGAGCTGAGGGCCCTAAGGCATCTTGAATCACCTTATCCTTGGGACTCCCCCGTCCTGCAAGCCTCCACCGGCCTGTTCCCACCAACCTGCTGCAGCGGAGTGTGGGGAACATTCGCCTCCAGGCCTGGCCCCTTAGCTCCCGCGAACAGCACCAACCCCACACATTCCATCGAGATTGTTTGTGACACACCGCTCTGCTCTTTTCTCCCACACACTTGTGCCCGTTTATTCAGGGCGAGGCCAACATTTTATTGTTATCTGGTTTAATTAGAGAGGAAAAAAAGTCCAGGAGTCTAGAATTTTGGTAACTTCAAATATATTTTATTACTTTCTTTTTCATCTTAGAAAGAACATGAAACCTGCATGCAGCTCAAGGGTCTCAGCATTTACATAGCAGAGAAACAGCCGTCCAGTGCGGCCTCTACTGAAGGGCAACGTGCGGCAGGGCGCACGGAAGGTGGTATGTACACAGGAGAGGGCACAGGATCATCCTAACTCCTAGCTCCCAAAGAGGACTGCCCTGTTTGCATCTGCACTGAAGGAGGGTGTGCTTTCTGTTGGGGTGCGGGGAAGAAACAAAACTTTGAAAGTTCCCCTTTGCCAATAGGAGGTGTAGCTCCGGCTGTTTGTTGTGCATATATCCCTGAATCTTTCCGTTTCTTCCTTGGGTTGTTTTCTCACAGTGCCAGGACCGTCCCATACTTCAGAAGCATCAACTACCAAAGCAGCAGAAACCTTCAGGTTGGAAGAAAGACCCAGCTCCTTTAAGGATCGCTTGCCTGATCATGAACTGGGGTGGGGGGCAGGGATGAAGCTTATCCTGGTAACAAGATTGAGTTCCTGGCGGCACAGATGTCGAAGGACCTGCTCCCAGTTGCCCTACAACAGGGGCCACTGTCAAGTCACAGGGAAACCCTGACCAGTCATAAGCTCAGGAGAGCCCGTGGCAGCTGTGCCGAGGCGCCAGGCCCCCTGAGCGGAAGCTTCGCAAGCCTGGACCGGAGCAATGGTGCAATGAAATGCCTCAACCAAGCTCACTGTCCCTTCCAGGCGCTCATAAAGCTCAGATGTGTTGTCACATACGGACAAATACAAAACCCCTTATTTTACAAAGGAAAGAGTTATTCGCCCCCCTCCCCGCCCTGCCTCCCCATTTCGGCAAAAAGCCGCTGGAGATGAAGTCTGGAGTTCGGGAGAGCTGGGTCTCACATCTGGAAACCTTCCACACACAGCTATAAAATGTAAAAACTGACCCTGGTAAGAAGAGCTTCGTAGCAATATATAATTTGTCTGAGAAAGAAAGGGCTTTTATTTTAATCTGCAAAGTCCTCCGCTGAAGTCTCTCAACTGGCCTGGAATTTTTCCTCCCGAGATCGGTCACCCTATTCTTCGTAGACCCTAGGAAGAGAGGACAGAGTGGTCAGTGGCTCAGGCCACTTACAGCTGCTGCTAGTGGGTTCGTCTGTGGGCCTCCTCCCAGGCCTGGGGCCGGGAGAGGGGAGAGGGCTCTGAGGATGTGATCGAAGCCAATGCCAAAGTTCACTCGAGGATGGGTGTGCTCCCTCACGCCCATAGTCCTAGTTCCGGGCTGAACTCCACACTCAGCTCACTGCTCCCTTTCCAGTGAAATCCCTTGATCAGGCACGGAAATAACGGCCTGGGGGCTGGAGAGATTGTGCCCAAGATACGTCACTGCTCTGCCAGAGGACCCAAGTTCATGTCCTGGCACCCACATTAGGTGCAATGCCTATAACTCCAGCTCCAAAGCCCTCTTCTGGCTGCCCCAGGCACCTGCACTCACAAGGCACACAGACATACGGCCACACAGATACCCACATATAAATAAAATAGAAATGCTGAATGCAGCCGCCTTTCGTGACAGCCAGAGATTCTGGTCTCTAAGGGGCTCTGAGCTCATTTATTGGTGCCATGGACCAGGGGCCTGGCCCTGCCCTGCCCTGCATTCTTCTCTTTCCTCCATCCGGAGCTATTGAGCATGTATGTTTGCTCTCTCTCTGACTTTGATCAGTTCTTTTATCTACATTATCTGTATTCATTAAGTCATTTTTAACCCTTTAAAGGGGTTAAAAGGTGGGAAGGGAAAGGGCAGGTGTGGCGGTTCCCTATTCCGGATGCCTCCGAGCCCTATGGCATGGATGAATTCAGAACTCATGGGCTTGTAACCATGCAATCCCAACACTTGGGAGGTAGAGGGATTAGGACTAATGATTCAAAGTCATCCTTTGCTTTGGGGTTGAGTGGATGCTAGCCTGGGCTATGTGAGACCTGTGTCAACAAACAAGTAAGCAAACAAGCAAATAGCACCCCCTGTCCCCCCACAACGGTTCTGAACTCTTGATGTAGCAAATTGGTAGAGGCCTAGTAGCAGAGAGCTCTCACGGCCTTCATGAGAGAAATTTGCAAAAGAAGAACAGTGGGTTTGGGGTGGGGGTGGGGCTTTGGGATCCCCACAGGTGCCTCCTCTTCAAAGACTCGCCATGTGGAGGAAGAAACAAGATGGGCAGAAGATTGGTCGGAATGTCTCCAGGTGTCTGGGCAAGACTTCTCAAGCCTCCATAAGCTAACCTTGCAGTCATCCTGCTTTTGATGACACAGGCCTGGGGGGTGACAGGGTGGCAGGGGGTGGGTGGGTGGGGCAGGTTCTGCTTTTGCCATGTCAACTGCATGCCCTGACCAGAAAGAGGGCTGCGCTCCCATCAGATATGTGGGGAACACGCTTGCTTCACCACTTTCTATTTCAGGCAATTGCAGATGAGGCAGTTTTGGAGAGAGCAAGAAAGGATTCAGGTGCAGAAGCTGAACAGGGGTGTCAGCTCTGAGAGCTGGTCACAAGGCTGGGGCCGGGGGGCACTGGGCCACATACTGGGAAGGCAGTGCCAGACCCAACACCCCACAGGGTCCTGGCATCTTGCCCTGACTTCCAGGTACTCTGAAAGTCAGACCCTGTCCCCACCTGGTCTTGGTTGCCCCCTCTTAGGGCAAAATACTGGGATCCTTGGAAGTCACCCAAGTGTGTGTCCTTCTCCAGCTTTGTTTAGCAGGTAAAGGTACAAGAGAACAGGCCGGGGCGGGGGGGGGGTCTGAGGAGTGACTTGCTCCAGGTCAGACTCATTGTCACGGGGTACAGAGGAGTTGGGAAGGGACCTCTCCTTCCAAGGCCAGACCTGGGGACCCCAAGGTAGAAGTAGGAAGCCCCCTTTTGATGATAGGGAAACTTCCAAGTCAGCAGAGGTGTCTGCCCCAAGGCACCAATGGTCTTAACCTCTGCCCCATTTGGGTAAAGTGGCTCAGATTGGAAGGGGCTGAACTCAAGCAGCCCCAGAATCTGCCTGAGAAGGCGTCAGAGAAGAGCAGAGTATGGGGCACCTTGGTGCTCACCTGGTCATGTTCAGCTCTTGTGACTTAAATAAAAAAACATAAGTTAGGGCCCAGAGGGACGACGGCTGAAGAGCTCAAAGCTTTGGTGCTCTTGCAGAGGACCTGACACACACATGGAGGCCCACAGCCTTAGGTAACTGCAGTATCTGATGAATCTTATTTGAAGTCCTTGGGCACCAGGCATGTAGGGTATTACACAAACATTCCTGCAGCCTTAATACCCATATACATAGGGTTAAAAACAAGTCTTTATAAAAATGTTCACAAAGAACTATGAAATGAAAGTAGATTTTAGTTCACAAAGGGATACACCTGCAGTGCTCAGAGCTGTCCAGAGAGCGGAAGTGGTGAGCACTCCATCAGTGGGGGATGGGAACAGCATCAGCTATTTTGTGGGTGTCACACATTAGATGAGGCTAATAGATGACATGGTGTGTGGGTCCCTTCTCATCCTGAAAGCCATAGCCAATAGCCAAGCTCTTCTGGATGGGTGGGGGATGCGCGGGGTGGGCAGGCGGTGGGCAAGGAGTGTGTGTGTGGTGTGAGAGGAGAGGCTGTACCTGCGCTTCTCGTTCCAGGCATTGTACCACTTGATGAAGCGTTTGGTGCTCTGCAGCTTAGGGTGGAGACAGTGCTCCTGGCCCCGGTACCTGGACATACTCTTGGTGGTGATGCTGAAACACAGCAGGATGGGGTCAGGGTTAGACATCTGAATAACAGTCTGCAGGTCTGGAGCACTGAGTGGCCCCGCCCCTCCCTCAAATTTCAAGGGCTCAGCCCCAGGTCAGCCTTTTAATGTTTTGTGTCTCAGCCTCCATGATGGGGTTAGCCTGTATGAAGTGAGTATTACTTTTCCCTGGGGAGTCCCTACCCCCAACAGCATCCAGCAGTCTGCGATCCCCAGCAAGGCTCTCGGGGAGCTCTTCCAGTGGTTCAGAGGTAGACAGAACCGTTGCTAGAAGGTGCTCATGCCAAGTACCATCCTTGGATTCGAGGAACTCTACAGAGGGGCTGAGCCATGCCCTGCATGTGTCATAGACTCTAACTCTTAACCCCAGCCCCCAAACCCTCTGCAGTTGTCCCTGGGCTGGGCGGTTGCTGTTCCTGGAGAAGGGACCTTGTTGGTCTGGTAGCCCAGTTGATGCTTGACTGTGAGGTTGCAGTTTTCTCGTTCCGGGACAGCAAGATAAAACCTTCCTTCTCTGGGCTTCTCTTAGCCAAAGCTCCAGCCCTACAGTGGCCTAGCTCTGCAAGGGAGAAGCAGGACCTGGTACTGAGACAGCTAGCTGAGTCTGGATCCCTGTAAGCGGTGGTATGTCTGCTCAAAAGGTACAACAGAAGGACCTACCTCACAGGGTTACTAAAGGAGCTAAAGGCATAACCTATGCGCAGTGCCCAGTCCCTGGCGGGCGTCCAGTGACCACCGTTATTACTAATTAGTCAGAAAAGATGAAGCAGCCCCGAGGAAGACACGCTTCAGGTATGAGCTCAGGCCTGACAGGTCTGAAGCACCTCACTCAGTCAGTCACTAGGGGGATGGTGGGAGTTACAGGAAGTTCTGGGAGGGGACTGGTTGAGAATGAGGGTCCACTTGGAAGATGTAAAGTGGAGACCTGACTTCCCGAGGGGTCACAGGTGTGTAGGGAGGTCAGATTGTTCCCCACATGGTTCCTAAGGGGAAGAAGAGTCAGAGTTTATGGGCCAGATTCTAGAAGGGGGTAGGGTCGTTATGAATACAACCTCCCAGTCTGTAGGGACAGAACACAATCTTGCCAGCAGAACGGGGACGGAACGCTGCTGTTTCAGGTTCCTGCTCTCCCTCATCTCAGATCAGGACGGACATTTGATAATACCAGGTAATTGGATCGTGCTTCGCTGGAGACAGGTGGATTCTTGCAGGCTCCAAGCATGGGGCCCTCCCTCTACACCTCTGCCCTCCTGCAGAATTAGTGCCCATATTTCCTCCACACCCACAATGCTGCCGTTGCTCTGAGTGGCCATCTCAAGTAAAAAGCTCCTTTTCCATAGGCCAAGGTGCAGACAGAGCATCCCTCTTCTGAAGGTCAGAGAGAGCAAGAAAGAGCTCAGGCCCGACCCCCAGAGCTGCTCAGACTACTGTGGTTCTTCAAATCAGCAACAGGGTGCAGAATCTGGGATTCAAGATCCAATAACCATGTCTGGGTTGCAGTAGTTCTGGGGGCCAATGGTTTGAATGAGAACTCTATGGACATATGACACAAATCGCCCTTCAAAAACTTGGACTTGGGCTGACAAGATGGCTCAGTAGGTAAGTGTCCTTGCCACCAAGCCTGGAGGTGTGTTTGGTTCCTGGGACACACCTGGTGGAAGGCATGAACCCTCCTGCAAGTTATAAACACATATTTTTTGAAAAAAGAAATCCAGGCTTTCCCATATTTTGAGTACCCCCCCACCCCGGCCGGGGTCTCTGGGAGACTCAGGGGGAGCTGGAGAACTTGCCATCAACCTTTGTGGCTGAAAACCTGTTTTGGCAAAAAGTGCAGGTCCCTTGTCTGACAGAAGGGCGAGGAGCCTTCAGGCTGTCGAGGGTGGGTGGAGAGGGAGGCCCAGAAGAGGTGTTGGTCTCATGAGGTCCCTGCAAATTTTCCCAAGGCTACATGAAGCCTGTCTATACGCTTGCTTGGCAGCGTTCTCTGTCTCTCTCTCTCTCTCTCTGCCCCCCCCCCCCCGGAGTTTAGTCAAGAAAGGAGCAAACCTGTCTGGGGCAAAGTCTGTCCCTTTGAGTTGCTGATGCACCCCAAATTGTTTTTGTCCCCTGGAGGTCTGAGAGACAGCTTGAAATCTTCTTAACATTTTTGAACCTCCAGACTAGAAATTCCGAGATACTGTGAAGCCTGCCATTTCTTTTAGCCCCTGAGCCAGCCTACTCTTAAAAGGGTAATTTTCCTTTATCTGCCCTGCAAGACAAGGGGCGCTATAAGGAGGTTAATTTGGAAACTCATGACTCGGGTCAGTTCAGGTCCTGTGGCTTTCTGAATTAGCCTAACTTCAGCGGGTGGAAGTTGTGAGGTGCCCGGTGGGGGTGTGCCCTTCCTTCACAGACACTGCCTGAAGGCCTCTGGGCCGGCAAGGGCAGTCGGTGGAAGGCACTTGCCCAGACTGAGAATAAAGTGTGTCCTGTTTCTGGGGGAGGGGAAGAGGGGCCAATGGTCCATGGCAAATATTTGGGAGCTGTTTTGCCAAGGGCTGCCTTCCTGGCCAAGAGTGTATTGATGGGGGAACGGCAGCGCTGGCTTCAAGTGGTTAATTGGGAAGGCTGAGGAGCAGGAAACGCAGTGTTCTCTCTCTGCCCTAGTTTTAAAGACTTTGCCGGCATCCCCACCAAGCAGCTGCAGCGGTGGCATGGCACATTAACCCCAGCAGAGCACTTTCTCCAACACTGTTCACACTCACGGACCCACAAGGAGCCTGGCTGCTGGAGGAAGGGACTGGCGCATTCTCACAATGAAAGCCCGGAGAGCACCAAACTGTCCACCGCTGTGGCCAAACCCCTGACTGAAAAGTCTGTTACTTCTCTCTTCGGTAAGAGGGAGGCAGCGCTGGGTGTGTGTCCCAAATGGATCTGGTGTAGATATCCTAAGAGGGAGCACCAGAACCGCTCGCCCAGAGGAAACCCCCAGCCTGTCAGTTTGAGTCCTAACAAGGACAGGCTCAGAGAGACCCGCCAGAGACCCCCTTTCCAGACTGTCGGGCAATGTCCCGAGGACTTGCCAGACGATTGATGACAAACTGCTCCTCGGGGCCTGGGCAAAGGCAGAGAGAAGAGCGTGTTAGCCCGATCCAGCCCCGCCACGGAACATGCCCCCTCAGAACTCACATAACCATCTTCTCCTCGCAGTGTGGGTACTTTGGCTTCATTTCCAGCTTCTTCACGTCGCTGTAGCGGATCTTGGGCCCCTTCCGGGAACACTTGCACTTGGATCCTGCGGGAGAGCGCGGCCAGGCTGCTGAGTCGCCAGAGGGGTCTTCAGCTCAGCGACCGCCCAAAGTGCCCGCCCGGGACCCCCGGGGTTCCAGGGTGTTTAAGTGGTGCTTGGGCTCCCTACGAAGGGGCAGGACCGCGACCGAGGGCCCTCGCGGCACTCACCGTCCACGCGCGAGGCGCACAGCGCCAGGAGCAGCAGGAGCAGCGCAGCCGCCAGGAGCCTCATGTTGGCCTGAGGGGCGCGGTGAGGAGCAGGGACGCGAGGAGGGAGCCGGTCTGTGGTGCTGCGGCTGTGGGATGCCGCCCGGCTCGGTTCTCGACTTAGAGCACGCCTCCCTGCACTGCTCGCTCCAGCTGCGCCCGTCGGTGGGAGCTCCTGCTGCTGCGCTGCGCTTGGCGCTGGGTGCTGCGATCTCCCCACAGCTTCCCTCCGCCCACCCTGGCCTCTTTTAAATTCGCTCCTGCCCTCTCCGAGAGCGAGCTCATTAATATGCAGAACCACTCGGTGACTCACTGAGATTTCTCAATGTGGTGGGGGGAGGAGATCTCCCAGCCCGCCCAGCCGCCCGCTCCAGACCCGTCGCGATCACAGGGGCGCACACTCAGAGCCACGCGCGCACACGCACACACTCACATCCGCTACCCTCTGGCTCCACAATACACCCGCCATCATGCACTTAATCACCCAAGCGTCGATGCCGCTGTCCTGCCTTGGAGAGGCCAGGCGAGTGCATAGCTTGGTTTTGTTTCCTGTGGATACTTCTCAGGCCACACAGGTTTACTGTCCCAAGCCACCGAGAATCCCAGGTCTGGCTCAGATCCTAGAGTCTTCCAACAGGTGCCAAGGGAGAGTGCCAGGAGGCCTTCCCACTGGGGTGTGGGTCTCTGTTGGGCCTGCAGCTCAAGGCCAGGTGTAGTTAGAGGCTTGTCACAGGTAGTAGAAGCTTTTGATCATTGGGTCACTGGGTGCAGCGGTGTGGGTGAGTGTGTGTGTGTGTGTGTGGGGCTACACAGTTTCTAGAAGGGATCTGTGGCTTGGTGTCCATGTATGGCTGTCCAGGGGCTATGGAGAACCCGGCTACTCATCACAAGCATTTTAAGAACCTTTGAAGCCAGGTAGAGCCCTGGTCACTGGATGGAGGCTACCCCACCTTATACACACTGCATCTGGTCACTGGATGGAGGCTACCCCACCTTATACACACTGCATCTGGTCCCTGGATGGAGGCTACCCCACCTTGTATACACTGCATCAGATGGTGGTAGGTGAAATTCTATCCCGCCCATGGATATCAGCATGGGTCAACTTCATAAAAATAAGAAAAACGGGCAATTTTATCCATTCAGAGGTCTATACCAAGATGAAAACTGTACTATCTTTGGGGTTTGAATGCATATGCACAGCTAAGACCCAGCTGCGTGTCTGGTTTGATGCCCTGCTTGTTGTGGTCTTTAAAAAACGGTGTCATTTGAAACCATGTGGTATAGTGGCTTGCTCTACCTTTGACCTCTGATGCTCTGCATGTGACTTTGGGCAAATTACTCTTTTAGCCCTCAATTTTCCTCATCTGTGAGATGGGATAAAGGTACTTCCAGCAGAAAGAAGAGGAATGGCTGTGTCAAGGGTTTAACATGGTCCCCAGCAGTAGCAAGCTTTCAGACCTTTTGATAATTTTGTTTTTCATTATTACTTTGCATACCAAATACCCGATTATACGGATATGGCATGACTGATTTGGTTGATCACTCCTGGCTGGGCCCTTGGGCTGTTTGCCACCATGTATTGTCATCATTATGCTGCATGACAAATATTCTTGCCATTGAAGTTGGAGAGATGCCTTCCAAAAACAGACAAATTCTCAGAGACAGAACCACTGAGCATGGTACATGCCCATTGCAAGGCTTAAGTACACAATTGCCATACTCCTTAAAAAAATCACGCACTTCAATCCTGCAAAGGGAATTTCTTAACTACCACACCTTATCAGAATATGTAAAGTATTTTTACTACTGAAAATTTAGTGCTACTATATTGGCTCAATAATATGTTGAGATCTGACAGCTCTAAAGCTTATATGCACAGAGCTCATTTTTGTATTTTTCTTACATTTAAGTGTGTGTGCGTGACACACATGTGCTATTTGGTTCATATGCAGAGGTCAGAAGGCAACCTATGGAAGTTAGTTCCCTCCTTCTACCTTGTGCGTCCCAGGGATTAAACTTGGGTTAGCAGACTTGGCAACAGATGCTTTCCTGCTGAGCCAATTCACCGACTCAGTGTTGAGATTAATAGACCCTGAAAATACGGGACAAAGTTTCTCAGCTTCCAGGGCTAGACTAGAGGTCAGAGGTGCAGCCTTTGCCTCCAGGAGTATATCCTAGTCTGTATTTACTGATCTTTGGTTTGCAAAACGCATACATTGTATCCTTTCTGCATGAGCTCTCTTGGAGACAGGGCATACACAAGGGTGCTGTCCCTTCTGCCACCCGGTCTGTGTGTGACATTGCTCAGCTGGGAAAAGGAGGGATCTTGCCTCCCAAGTTGCCTCAGGATATGGACTTTCTACTGAGCTCAAACTAGGGGGCTTTGAGTAGGGAGTGGAGACAGGTTTATGTGGGTACAAAGAGGGAAGTCCTTTGCCCAGTAATACCACCTGCTTTAAGGAAGTCTGCCCTCTGGGCAACACGTATGCCCATCACTTAGAGGACAGTCTGATGTGCGTGTGTGCATAAGCATGACCACCGCCGTTGGCAGCTGGTTCTACAGGAGGTGTAGACATAGTGTGGGGACATGAAGAGAGAAAGAGTAGAAGCAGGGACTCAGTGAGGGAGTGGATTAGTCAGGGCTCTCTAGGGGAACAGAACTGATAGAAGGAATCTGTGTATGTTAAACAAGGATCTATTAGAGTGTCTTACATGCTGTTTCCGAGCTAATCCAACAATGACCGTCTCCCAGTGGAAAGCACGAGAGTCCAGTAGTTGTTCAGCCCATGGGGCTGGGTGTTTCAGCTGGTCTCCAGTATACTCTAGAAGTAGGCTCTAATGCCAGTGAAGGAATGCCCCAGCAACAGGGTAGATGAACTTGCCGGAGAGAATGAGGGCAAGCAGGCCGAAAGCAAAAGCTGCTTTCCTCCATGTCCTTAATACAGGCTGCTATGAGAGGTGTGGCCAGATTTAGGGACGATCTTTTGATCTCAGATGATCTGGATTTAAGATAGGTCTTCCTACCACAAATGATTCAGTTAACTAAAAATCCCTCACAGGTGTGCCCCAGTGACTCGGAGTTTTTAGTTACTTTCACACGTAGTCAAGTTGACAAGTAAGAATAGCCATCACAGGGAGGAAACACTCCTCATCCAGGGGATTTGCCCATCCTTTTCTTTTTCCACTCACAAAACACCTGCTGGGGGCCAGGATCTATGCACTCACTGGGAACTTACAATGAGCAAGGATGTGCACCCGTTCCCAGGGGAGGATGGATGGGGCCACCATAATAGTGGATAAGTGTGAAAATTCCTCAGAGGTAGATGGCAGGAAGAAGCTGGTGTTGTGTGATGTGATCCTGGGCAGAGGTAGGGATGGGTTTTCCGGATGGAGGGACCACTGGGCTGGCTATGAAGGATGATGATAATAAGGAGGCAGATAGGGAAGACCATTCCTACCCCTCACATGACAATCTCCATGGGGTACCCCTGCTGCAAGTCCTTCCCTGGCTCCTGATCTCATCCAGAACCTTGGGTGAATGCCCCACAGTACGCACCCCCAGTGGCCAGCGCTGGCCAGCCACCCACTGACCATGCTTGTGACCCCGCCTTGATTTATCTTTCTGGCATGCAATGGTCCTAGCTGGGGAATTTTTGCTCGCTAATCCTCTTGCCCACGGCACTTGCTCTTCCCAGCACCTCTCATCTTCCGTGCGCAAGTCCACGCTTCAGACCCAAGCACTCGGGCAGCCCAGCAGCAGAGGCTCCCGTGCCATGATCACTTTAGGTACATTGTACACTACCATGGCAGAGTGTGCTGCTTTCATGTTCATGCGGGGGTGGGGGGGAGGGTCCTGAAGGGGAGTGTCTAGGTCATCTCCATCCTCAGTTTCTAAGCCACCTCCATCCTCAGCGTCCTTAGGGAGCTTAGTTAGTGGCGCTTGAGTAGGTTTAGGAGGAGTGGCCTCGCTGAAGGAATTATGTCACCGCGTCACTGGGGGGCAGGTTTTGGGGTTTTCGAAAGCCTTGGTCAATTTCCTGTGAGTTCTTTCTGCTATGTGCTCGCCATGCAAGCTATGAGTTCTCTGCCGCCAAGTCTGTGGCTTGCTATGAGTCCTCTTCTTCTGACGCCAAGTCTGTGGCTTGCTGCGGTGCATCTCTGCCACGTCAGACTGTTATCCCTGTGGAGCGGTAAGCCAAGTAAACTCTTCCTTGTATAAATCGTCTTGGTTATGGTGGTTTTTTTTTTTTTATCACAATAGAAAAGTAACCACTGCAGCCTCATTCTGTGTCCATTGGTTAAATAGAAGCATGCTTTAGGCAATAGCTTAGGACCCTTGAGAACATTGCTGACTCTAGTCTGTGCAGGGCATGAGGCTGTGCATAAGAATGTGTGTTTACACGCATGCACTGGAGGAGGGAAAGGGTGTTTGTGGCAACCCAAGGTCTGGAGAAATTCGGTTCTGTCTCCAACATTTGTTTCAAAACAGCAGTGGCTGCGGGGAGGAATGGGGTGTTTTCCTGGAGGTCAGGGCTCTGCACCCAGGTATCACTACTGCTCTATCTGCTGGGAGGTGGGGATGGGGCACAGCTACCTTCCAGCCCCAGGAACTAGAAGATGAGGACTTCTCTCTCTCTCTCTCTCTCTCTCTCTCTCTCTCTCTCTTTCTCTCCCCCTCCCCCCGCTCTGATGTGACAGGAATTCTAGAATCAAGCACCAGGAGGGGGGCAGGTCTCTTCTACCCTGATTGAACACAGGGAAACTGAGGCCTAGGAAGGGAGTAGCCTTTCACACAAGGTTGAAAAGGACAGTGGTGTTAGCCAGGATCCGGTTTCTGTGTCTTCTCCCTGCATGTTTAGGTGAAGGCAAAATCCCAAGCTTCAGCAACACTCACGACACGGTGGGTCTCGTACTTGCTTCTGCCTGCTCCCACCGACAGAGTGTAAGTCTGGTGGGTACCTGTGTTGGTTGGAATTTTTGTCAAGATGATACAAGCTGGAGTCTTCTGGGAAGAGGGAACCTCAACTGAGAAATTGCCTCCAGAGACTGGCCTGTGGGTAAGTCTGTGAGACATTTTCTTGATTAATGATTGATGTGGTAGAATCTAGCCACCTATGGGCAGTACTGTCTCTGGGCTGGTGGTCCTGCATAGGAAAGCAGGCTGAGCAAGCCACGAGGAGCACTCCTCCATGGTCTATGCTTCAGTTCCAGCCTTGGTTTCCTGCCCTGATTCCCCCTTCATG